CCATTGTAAAGGAAAAGTACAGGTCCAGAATCGGAGGGAAGGACTGATTATTGAATTTTCCCACAACTGGTTGAGTGTGCCTCGGGTTTCCATTGAAGCTCACTTGGCCTTACATCCCTAAAAACATCTTCATCCCGACTGGACTGAACCGTAATTATGACATCTCCTAGATACCATTAGCAGTCCCGATAGCTGGTGAATTGTATAATTTTGACATGTTGGCAGACTTAAAGGGTTGGAAATGGGTTACAGGATGGATGAGACTTTCACGGGAGATCAGGCCTCTCTTAAATCCAATTTTTTGTTGGATTGTAGATTAGGCAAACTTGTATCTTATATTCAAAGAAAGTATGCTTTTAAGACTATCATCATCTCGTACGATTAACTGGTAGCCTCGACAAGGTACTTTCCAAGAGTATGAAATAAAGGCTTGCCTTATCGACAGTCCAAATTTAAATGTGATATGGGAATGTGCTGCCCTTTCCTGAAGGTCTAGTTAAAGGGTAGTGTAGTGACGGAATGTCGAAATTATTTTCGTATTAGAGTAGAGTTTCGAGACTACCAGTAAATCAGTAATCTGAGATGTATTCACCCTATTTCGTCTAAGGTGATGAAGGATTGGTAGTAGAATTTTCCCACAATGATATGAGTTGAGCTGACATTTCCATTGAATTTCACATAGTTTTGCTTTCCAAATAGTTGTTTTCATTTAGGCCGAAATAGGGTGAATACATCTCATGTGTCGAAATTATACACTTCACTACCCGATCAAATTTCGATTAAAGGTGCTGATTGGACTCGACCTAGGATGAAACTGCAGTCCAGTATAGTCAGGCTAAGAAAGACTTTCAGAAAAGTAAGGCCAACTGAAGTGAAATGGCCTTTTAATGACTTTTTATGTCATTTTGGGAAAATCCAACCCCCAGTCTTTCATCGCATTATGTGATCTAGGTTGACTAGAACTCTTATTTAAGATAATCATGTTGGAATATCTCTCAAAGCATATCGTCAAAGACCACTCGAGGGTGTGAATACCAAGATTGCGTGACCTTTACTATGGTTGCGGTTTCCTTGCATTATACAAAAGTGGTTTTCCCTCATTTTCGCAAAATGCTCATAGTATCAGAGAGACCGAGAAGAACATATCTTGTCAGAAATCCTCTACTGGATTATCCAGGTTAATTAACAGTGTCGGACCGTCGACTTGATGTGTTCCAACGCTGTAATGTATCGTTGCTAATACAGCAGAGGACTCAGGACAAGGTTCTTCCTCATAGGTCTCCCTGCCAATACGACCAAATTGCGAAAACTAGGTCAAACCCCTTATCTATTACATACTACTTGCTACCGCCTAGTAGGTACTTGCACATGCACGAAATTTTTAACATTAGTTGCTCAATTTTTAAACGTCAGGAAGACGGATGCTGAGAGCAGCCATGGGGCACTTTTGTATGGAGGCAGTGATCGAGAAAGAGGCCTTCAGTATCAATATTCGGTGCAGTTTTCACACTGTTTGGCCGTCGTCAATGCACTCTGCGCACGCCCTCGGCAAATGGGAAGAGGGGGCTTCAACGAGGGACAGTATCAATCTGAGAAACACCAGTCCTCTATTTTTCGTATATAATTAGAGTTTAGAGACGGTCTACTATGCCGGTCAGACAGGAACCATAAATCTTGCCCACAAAAGATTCATTTATATGTGAGGAGACGGTCGGTAGAGGGCGGCTGTTTGAATTCACTTGCTTTCCTAGTTTTTTAATATGCACTCATGCATTAACAAGTTCTTTTCTCAAAATTTCATCAATCATTTTCCACCTTTCTTGGACCATACCCCCGCTTTATCTGAATCGTCCGGTTGGCTTGACTATATGAAGTGAGGCTCGACGAAGGCCAAGAGGCCAGGCAGTGAGTTTTCCATCATTTTTCTTCATCTTCATCTGAACGTTTACCCACATGTGGGCAGGAATAAAAGATTGAGTTTGGGCAAATGGTGGAATTTCGGAATGGATGTAACTGTCTGACCCAAACGGTGGCTGAAGTATGCCAATGGTGGAAAGTTTCGGCCAGTTTGTGTGTATATGTGTGTACTTACGTGTGTCTTTATGCCTACACAAATCGCCGTCCGTATTGAGGCCACCCTTGCATCGGGCCAAAATGGGTGCTGGTCTGCCAACCGCTTGCAGCTAATCCCTGAGGTGGCCTGGACACGTGGGCTTCGACAAACCATGTGATTGCAACCCCGGCTGCAGACATTCTAGATTAAGGGCCCACAACGGCCCAAAGATGGCGTTCACCCAACTCGTCCTAATGCCCCAGAGCTGTATGAAGCTGTCCCCTCCTAATGTCGTCCCAGACACAGACACAGCTTCAAGTCTGATGCCGAGATTCCCCTGCATACAGGGTCAGGGAAACGTTGATATACTGCTGAACTCGTCTGAGCTGCAGAAGCTTCCAAATGGCTATCTATCCAATGACGCCATGGCAAACAAATTCATTATATATAGTACATTTGGTACTATATCTATACATATACATATAAATATAGTATACATACTATATCTATAGTAATTATACTTTTGCATGAACTGTAGGTAGCATGAGGTGATGAAAGTCTGACGGCTACATTGTCCCCCAATGAAATAGGTGGGCATGATGATGCGATAGAATAAGCATTCTTTTAGTCTAGTATATATAGTACGTACATAGTCTACATACCACACATTTAAATAATATTATATTTTTTATAATTTTTGTAAGTATACTTCTACATGAAATGTATGCACGAATCGATGAAGGACTGATAGTCTAGTTGTCCCACAACGAAATGAATTGGCCTGACGATGCCAGTCGATTTAAGCCTCGCCTTAGAAACAATTGTTCTTATCCAAGCTGGGCTGCGGCTTCGACTTTGCTTGCGTCTACACAACACCCCCAACCGAAAGTGAACCCTATTAGTTCAGATTACAATTTCAATTTGTTATCACTATGCCACACAACCACAGATACCAGCTGGTCACAGGCCAGTTGTGCGTTACCCAATTCCTCTTTATAAATGAGAAAAGCCTTTGGGCAGACAAGTTTAAATGAAATTCATTTACATTTTGCGGCAAATTAAACTAACAGTCATTCATCACCTTGAACGAAATAGGGTGATTTCAGCACTTAAATTAGTATTTTGCGATTGCAATAGACTATGTTACTTATATTCACAACAAGCAGGTTGCTGGACTGTCAATAAATCAGGCAGATTAAAACCACAGTCCAGCCCGAAGGGGACAGGTCATTTTAGATGCATTTCCAATCAAAATTCCAGACCTTTGTTTACTTCATCGTGAGCAGTTTGGATAACGTTGCGTTCTTATAGACCAGTCAAAACTGGCCTAGCTCGCTAACAAATTCGTTTCTCATTTGGTCGTCAGCTCACAGGTTTTCTGTGCCTGGGAGCACCACACGAAGAATTCTGTTGGTTCAATTATACAACCACAGACCGAGAAACAGAAAAGAAATTTTCCAGTAAAGATGATTCATTTTATCAATATAGTTTCATTCATGGTTCAGTCTCTGCATAGCTCAGCCACTTTTCTATCACGCATCCTTTAGTAATATAACCCACTATTTAAGATGCTGCTAACCAGTATTGATCATAAGCATTTATGTTATTGTTATTGTTATTTGTACTGTTGTTGCCTTGGTTGTTTTTGCAAAAGAAACTTTTAATTGTAATTGCAATTCTCAATATTATTATTATTATTATTATTTGTCCTTATTCTTATCCTAATTCTTAAAGTTATTCTTAATTTTTGTGCTATTGTAATTAGTATTTTTGATCAAAGATTTTTTACGGTCTTTGCTAGCGAATGAATGGTTTGTGGATCATATATTTTTGATCGCACAGTCCGTTTCCATGCCTATATTTTTAAAAATATGTATCTACTAGAATGCTAAACAAGCCAAGTTGTCTGCCCCACTTGGAGGGGAATAAGCCAAAGTATTTTCGATTAAAGAGCTGCGTCAGCCTAATTTCGTTTCGGGTACTGAAGGAATGTGAAGTGAAGTTTCCCAAAAATGATATGAGCATTGAATTTTGCATAGTCGTGCTTTCCAAAAAGTGAGGGTAGATTACGGTTTCATCCTCGCATATGCCTCATCGGGACTCAAGCCCAGGTAATGAAGCGTATACTCACGAAACGGGTGACTGGGCACAAGTCAATTTCAAGAGAGGCCAATCATTTTCTAATATCACACCCTGTGGTGGGATCTCCGATGATACAGTTCAATTTGCTATTACGACCAACTAGATTACTTTTTTTCGTTTTTACTTAGGGCTGATGTACCCACAAGCATTCGAAAGTCACGCTTTGGTTGCATACGTAATTTCCACTTGCTTGGCTGGTCTTCGGAGTTTGAAAATGTGGATTCTAAAGGAAGTTGAGTCGTTTTAGCGACCGATCGACTACTCTGTCCCACATTTGGCGTTTGTGACCATCAGGTGGTACATGCTATTTCAAATGGATCCAGCCTATCTTGTTGTTTATTTGCTGCTCAGATGGAGATGAATTCGGGTATTGGTGAAGAATGCATGTTAGAAGCCCAAATCCGGTTAAGGCAAACGAAATTGCTTTTGTCGTTCATTTGATGTTAAGTCAAGTTGGAAAGCAGAAGAAAGTTAGTCACGCTAAATGTGCACGCCTACTCGCGATCACATGCACGAATAGCAAAACTGGTTTTATGTTGGCTTGCGGCAAACTTGAATAAAATTTAAGATAGCATCGAGAGCTCAAACCTCTATAGCCCAGCAACAGAGTCGCACCCTCGTAGGACGTTTTCTTTCATCCCGTTTGTTGTGCTTTCGCACACATTTAGCTTGTCGCGAGGCTTTACCACACTCCACTCTTGTATTAAGCCCCACATTCTATTAAAATTGCCTGTGTTTTATGATATTTATCTTGGCAAAGTTGGACATCTCTTTGTTTGACTGGAATGACAGAGTGATGCGGTTCCACGACAAAGAGGGCAGTGGGAGCTCAACGGACTGGTGTTTCAGGGGGTAGATTTAGGCGTAGCGGAAACTCAGTGTCCTGCCAAACGGCTCCAAGTTTATGGTGCACTTGAAATCGAGCCATTATACAACCCAACTGCACAAGTGCTGCACCCTACACGAGACCCTACACACATATATATTCACACCCCCCTAACACACACATACAGATAAATGCACATAAGTAACCTCTTGCACATCCATACACTCATACATACACACTTTTTGGTGTACCCTTGTTAAACACACACACACACACACA